AGCTTAGATCAAACCATTTATTTTTTTGCTTTGATTCGTGACGTAATCAATATTTTAAACTAATAATAAAAACTAACTATGTGTGTTCTATTTGTTTAAGATGGGAGGTAAGCGCTGTTCTATACCTTTGTGCGAGAATAATTCAAGTGATTATCCGTACCTACATATTATTGGTACCCATTTTGGAATGGCTGTTGGAAAAATGGTGTGCACAAATAAACACGGAATATTTCTAGTATTTTTTGCAGTACTGCTGTGAATAACATATGGAACAGTGCAGAGTTGCTTTTTTTGCTAAGGACGTGTCTCCTGCGTATGCGTTTGTCTGCTTGAATTTACTTCATATGTGATGATTTGATGAATCAAGAATAAATGCTAAAAATATTTTTGAATATTATTATTGGATAACTTCCCTTTCAAAGCATATCACTTTTATAATTATGTATAGAACCATATAACGTCTACAAAAGTAAACTGCTAGCCATGGGCCCACAGCAAGTATTGGCCTTTATATATTGGGGGTATTATTTCCCATAATCACCTAGTCTGGCAGGCGGATCGGTGAGCGCAGTGCAAAGTGTTGTTTATTCACAAGGAACAATGCTGTCGTGTGGTGCCAGCTTACCCCATATCTTTCCCGTGGGTGTCGTAAGCAGCGACTTTTGAGTGTTGGTGTGTATTGCAATTTTTTGGTGGAAGATTGACAAACTGTCACTATGGCCATACTTAGTATTCTGAATGACTCTCAAAAATGTTGTCAGACGTAGTGTATTTTAATTTGATTACTATTAAAGTAGAAGCCTCAGACACAGGCAGTCGGCAAACCTACTCACTTAGTAGCTTTTAGAGTCCTAATGCTAATATTTTGCAAATATAGTAATGTTAAACACGAGTCGTAGGTAATAACAAGCTCCTAAAATAAGCTTAATAAAATTTTACTGAATATTTACTCACGCCAGCGCTAAATATCGATATCGATAAGCCGTCAGGGGTTGTGAGGTTACATCTCTACTTATCTGTACACTTGACTACAGATGTAAATCAACCGGTTTAAAACGTTTAAAACCAAATTTCGCGGTTTAAAACCTGAAATCAACCGTTTTCAACCGTTTAAAACTCGCCTACAAAAAAAAAAGTTCTGTGTTTTACATACACATACATACATACACAAATCACGCCTTTATCCCTTGCGGGGTAGGCAGAGCGTAAACAGCCGTAGGTACCTACAATACAGCCGCTATCGCCACGTCTGACTAATATTTCAGGGCCGTTGTAGAAAAATCGTGCCGAAATGCAAAAAAATTTTTGCCGAGTAGGTACTTAGGTATGAATTTTTGTATGGAACATCCAAATTATTAATATAACCCTGTATATACAAAATTCGGTGTTTCCAACGATTTTACACTGACTTGCTCATCATAGGTTACCTACGCTCGGGCCTCGGAGCGACAAACTAGGTAATAAACCCGCAAAATCACATCATTAATCCATTTCAGTGATCCTTACCTTTGTAATATTACGAAAATGTATTAAAATCAATAAAACATTGTTATCAACCATCCGCCGTTTTAAACCGAAAAAAACGGTTGTTTATGATTTAAAACGGTTTTTTTCGTTTAAAACGATTTGGTTGAATTGGTTTTAAACCGGGCTTACATCTATACACTTGACAATTGTTTGACGTTTTGATTATCCATAGATTGCCATTATTATTATTTTTAAAGGCCAGGTGTAGGCAAAGATATTGTTAATATGCAGCCTAGTGATTGAGTAAAACCTCAAAACTTTAAAAAAATATTTAAAATAGAAATAAATAATATCTTTTCAAAATATCGAAAATAGTTTCTTAGAATGATCTATAATTTAAAAATAAGGCATAAAAAAATTGACCTGGCTAACCGAATTATCCCTTAGTCGCTTTTTACGACAGACACGGGTAGATTTGAGGTGTTGCTATTCTAAACCGGCACCACACAGCATTACCTGTCAAACGAGTTGACCTGAACCATATTTGTATGGTAAGCATGCGTTACGCAGCACAAAAATAGCGCATCCCGCCAAACTGCCAAAGCATAGATGCCTGAAGTTCCTGTATCCTGAGAAAATCGTGGTATTGTAACTTCCCTCCCAACATTTCATCTTCAATATGCCATGCGCGATGTTACTCCATCAGTCAGCCGTCGCAGCCTCAGAGGGAACGTAGTGACTGAGCATTTTACGATTGCCCGCGTTTGCGTCGTGCCTGCCCTTAAGTTGCTAGTACTCTTACAAAATGGCCCGCCACGGCATTGATGATTCAACTTTAACTATAATAGCAAGAACAGTAACTTTCCCCATGGAACATGGGTCGAAATATGAAAAAGAATTGGTCGTCCAATAGGAAATGGCCTATCAGCTGATTGATATATGTGGGAGATTATCTTCATCTTCAATATGCCATGCGCGATGTTAGTCCATCAGTCAGCCGTCGCAGCCTCAGAGGGCATGAAGTGACTGAGCATTTTCCGATTGCCCGCGTTTGCGTCGTGCTATTACACTCCAAGAACATAACCCGCTTAGCTTATCATATTATCTGTATTAAAACGACCGACCTTGTTGTTTTAAGTCGAGGCTTGTGAGTTCCCGGTGGGCGCTACTACCGAGCGCGAGCGACCTGTCGGACTCCGGATCGAAACGTCAAGACTCTATAAACCTCGACTTCCCTCCCAATATTTCATCTTCAATATGCCATGCGCGATGTGAGCCCATCAGTCAGCCGTCGCAGCCTCAGAGGGCACGTAGTGACTGAGCATTTTCCAATCGCCTACTTTTAAGTTGCTACAACTTAAGGGCATTCTAACTTACCTCCCAATTAAACTATTAAACGAAAAAGGATAACTCAGGTTATCTGTATTAAAACGACCAACCTTGTTGTTTTAAGTCGAGGCTAAGATGCCATTGGCGATGGTAGTCCATCAATCAGCCGTCGCAGCCTCAAAGAGCACGTAGTGACTGAGCATTTCCCGATTGCCCGCGTCTGAGTTGCTACAACGCAAATGTTATACAGGGAGTAACAGAAAGGGTATAACAAGCCGAAAGGAGGTCAAGGTACTCATGAAACTGAACAACTTTCCCCATGGAACATGGGTCGAAATATGAAAAAAAATTGGTCGTCCCATACGAAATTGCCTATCAGCTGATTGATTTACTGTGGGAGATCATCTTCATCTTCAATATGCCATGCGCGATGTAAGTCCATCAGTCAGCCGTCGCAGCCTCAGAGAGCACGTAGTGACTGAGCATTTTCCGATTGCCCGCGTTTGCGTCGTGCCTGCCCTTAAGTTGCTACTACACTCTTACAAGATGGCCCGCCACGGCGTTGCTGATTCAACTTTAACTATATAGCAGGAACATTCCACAGCTGGACATGGGCCTCCCCCTATCGGATGGCAGTTCGAGATGTTGCATTTACAAAGGAACGCTGCTGCCCATTCCCTGGATAGCTATCCCTTAGTCGCTTTTTACGACAGCCACGGGTAGATTTGGGGTGATGCTATTCTAAGCCGGCACCACACAGCCTTACCTGTCAAACGAGTTGACCTGAACCGTATTTGTATGGTAAGCATGCGTTACGCAGCGCAAAAATAGCGCATCCCGCCAAACTGCCAAAGCATAGATGCCTGAAGTTCCTGTATCCTGAGAAAATCATGGTATTGTAACTTCCTTCCTAATATTTCATCTTCAATATGCCATGCGCGATGTAAGCCCATCAGTTAGCCGTCGCAGCCTCAGAGGGCTCGTAGTGACTGAGCATTTTCCTATTGCCTACTTTTAAGTTGCTACAATACAAATATTATACAGGGAGTAACAGAAAGGGTATAACAATCCGAAAGGAGGTCAAGGTACTCATGAAACTAAACAACTTTCCCCATGGAACATGGGTCGAAATATGAAAAAAAATTGGTCGTCCTATACGAAATTGCCTATCAGCTGATTGATTTACTGTGGGAGATCATCTTCATCTTCAATATGCCATGCGCGATGTAAGTCCATCAGTCAGCCGTCGCAGCCTCAGAGGGCATGTAGTGACTGAGCATTTTCCGATTGCCCGCGTTTGCGTCGTGCCTGCCCATAAGTTGCTATTACACTCTTACAATTTTAACCCGCTACGGCATACATTGATGATTTAACGACAACAACTTATGTCAACACATCAGTCACAACAATAAAACGGTTGTGATTCGGACACTGCATTCTTCTTTGCCAGAACAACCTAAAATACGAGTACACCCTGAACATGTCTGCTTCCTGGGGACACCTACATTCTGATCCTTCGAATACATCATACATTTGGTATACAATACATTGCTTTATAGCCGTGTGGTGCCGGCAGAGCACCTCTTCTCTTTCCGTGGGGGTCGTAAGAGGCGACCGAGGGATAAACCAGACCCAAACAGCCAGGGCCAACCGTATGGTGGCGGTTAATCCACCACAAAAGCATTCCCAAGGAGGGTTGACGTCTGGTAGGCGGCCGGTCGTAAAATTCAGCCAAATCCTTTTGCAACACGATTTTGTGTTCAACGAAACGTGTTGCGAAGACCCCAAGTAATTGGGATAAGGGTTCCTGCCCATCTCATCTCCTGGGCATCTTCCTAGATGATGATGACATTGTTTTATAGCTTACGGTTGTCACAAGGAAGAATTCAGTAGTCCGACAGGTTCGTGCGCGACCTTCCCTAGGAGTGACAGACGTTGGGAGGGAGATGTCAGCGGGTAGCGGGAGGTGTAGCGGGGAAGGGAGACGCGCGCATCTGCGCCGCACGTCATATTAAAATGACGTGCTTCCTCGCCCCCCCACCGTCTGTACCCCGCAGGAGGGTCGCGCACGAAGTTGTCGGACTACAATGTATATCAGCCACTGTTAAAAGGGTAGTCAAACTTAAACCGACGATTTTCAACGGCGGAAAGACTTGTGACGTATTGAACGCCAAACCGAGTGGAAAGGCATAAAGCATAATTTTCACCGCAGGCAGGATTTGAACCTGCTACTTATGACATCTGTATTGCCAACGCCTCTACCAACTGGGCTATCGCGGCTCAATCGTACTCTGCTAAATAGTGCAAGTGTATTTTGGTCAATAACGCTTGGCAGGGCTCTATCTACCGGTATAACTCTTTGCAACTAATTTATCCAGGCAGGATTTGAACCTGCGACTTTCAACATCAGTACCTACCGATGCCTCTACCAACTGGGCTCCTGCGGCTCAATCGTAGCCTGCGGAATAGAGCAAGTGTACCTTGGCTAATAAAGGGGTAGTTATTTTTCCAAATATCTACCCTCAAAATGGGAAATGGCTTATGTGTGTGTGGCTGTGGTAGTAGTCGTAGATATAATTACAGCAAATATTTTTTACACCTAAAATAAATTCAGATTGTTTTTCTGTAACAATGGGTAGTATGAGTATAGGTAGGTAAACTATTGTTATTCAAAAATGGATATCCCTAATTACAATCTTTCATCACACATGGGCACAAAAGAGCTAAGCGGCCCTTATCACGTCTACGAAAAGCGTAGCAGGTAGCTACGCCGGAGCCAATTATCCGTAGACAATAACGTAGCCGATAGCTACACACGAAACTAGTGAGTAAACAAAAAGATTCGGCAGCGGTAAGGCTAGGAACACACGCAACGTCGGTTTGTGCGTCGTTCATTCGATTCTCCACCCTACCTGCATGTTTAGTTTCGCATCATGTATACGCGCGTTTTATTGTTTCCCGCCATTTCGTCTGACGGACCGCGCGACTGACGCCAGCTAGGCGACCGACGCCATGTTTGTCCTTTGTTCGTTCAGTCGGTTCGATACCACGCGGCCGCCGGCAAATATAACCTTACTTTTAGTCACGCGCGCCTCCGGTGTTAGGCACATATTTTAAGTAGTCTGGGTTTTATTTTTTCGCATGCGCAATTGCTGCCAGGGAAGAGTTCCCTGTTCTTGTGCGGTAGTAAAACCAAGTGAATAGTGGTTTGGTAGTGCGCTTTGAATGCGAACTGGGCAGGTTTCTTTGAGGGCTAACGTGGCCGAACTATGAACAATAGTGAACCCAAGTGCTTGTGAAAACTAAGGAGAATCCAAAATTGTCGGAGGGACGGAATGCCACACGAGCTGGTGTCCGGGTGCAGTAAGTCTAGTATCTAAATCCCTATCCAAGTGTCTCCCTCAAACCCTGATACCTTTTTTCCTGTCAAAAACTAGACTTACAAGGGAACGGCGGCGTCATAATTCGCACGGTAAGCAATTCGCTGCTAGGTCCTGTATAAGTACGTTCATTGGTTCATTGCAGTGATTTAGCAACATTACGTGGAGGTCACCACCCTGATGACCTTTAGTACAACCGGAACTTGGTATATTTATTTTAGATATGAGCTGTGGTGGTGCAGTTAAATATTAGTAGGAGATTGTGAGAGAGCCGTCGCAGACTTTGGAAACAAAAATTTCTCGGCCGGAAACTTTCCGGAACAAAAATTCTCTCATTAAATTTATTTTATTTAGCTATAGTAAAGAGCACTACGAATCGTAGTCAAATGTTGTTCCGAGGCTGATCGACCATTTAGTTTTAGATTTTAAGATAACTTTAATTTGCTTCCACTGCGCTAAGATCAGCTTCGGAGTCAAACATTTTTTGGTAGCAGAGCGTGGTTGCTTTATTGCAACAAAGTTAGCCGTAATTTAGTATTAAGCGTGTTTTTTATATTACCCACATATTTTATTAATTTTGGAAAATATTGTTTCGGTTTTTTTTTTTTATTGGTTTTCGTTTTATTAAGTCGAGTGTGTAAAAGTTGGTACCATGGCTCCCTCGATCGCCAGGTATAAGGCTGCTATAAAGACAGAATTAAGGTGGTTTACTACCACAGCGGCAATGATCGGCCGCGAGGACCGGGAGGACGCGCTCTTGAAAGGTGCACTACAGGCAGATGAACGGGTTCGGGTTGTGTCGGAACACCTCACAGAGTGCCTCATGCTCCTTGAGGAAGCTCCTAACCCTGAAGATAAGGAGCTGGGCGAAGGCGATGTAAGCCAGTGCTTGGAGCTGGCACAGGACATTGAGCAGGCAGCTGCGGACATATCTAGGCGACGTGACGGAAAGGAAAAGCCATTCCGTGGTAAAGTGGGACAAGGATTACAGGTGCCTCTTCCGCCTGTTACGGTTCCAGTCTTTGCAGGCGATTACGCCGACTGGCCGGCGTTTGAGGACCTGTATAGCAGCGTGGTCCACACACGGACGGACATAACGCCAGCGTACAAGATGGCTCAGCTGATGTCCAGGCTACAAGGAGAGCCTCATGAATTGCTGACGCATTTGGCAGTCTCGGATAGCAATTATGAGGTGGCGTGGAAGATCCTTACCGACCGGTATCGGAACAAGCGCCTGATTGTAGACAGGCTGTTAGACCAGTGGCTGTCAATACCAACCATAACGCGAGGTACGGACCTCCGCGAGAAAATCTTTCACCCAGTCAGCGTCGCGGTCAGCGCACTGGAGCGACAGGGTTTGCCAGTGGCGGGCTACGGTTATATCTTGGTCCACACAGTGCTTCGCTGCCTGCCGAGCGAAATGGTCGCTCGATTCGAGCAGCTCCATGGGGGCAAGTCCTCGGACCACCTCCCGACCTACGAGGATCTGAAGTCGTTCCTCGAGGCCGAAAGCAGGCGAGTGGACGTCCAGGCTGGTGAAGCCCCTCGCAAGGAGACCTCTGCCCCTCGCCACCCGGAACGGCCGGGTGCACCGGCGCGAGGAGGCAACAGTAGGCAACCCAGGCGGTACAACACTGCATTGGAATCAGGGTTTGCCTACTGCAAGGAGACAGGCCACGGGGTGACAGCGTGTCAGGAGTTTGCGGCGCAGCGGGTTCAGAGGAGACGGGGTGTGGCACAGCAGAGGCGTTGGTGTTTTCGGTGCCTGGGGCCGCATCAGGTGCGAGAGTGCCCTTCAAGCACCAACTGTAGGTACTGCCAGGGTGCACACCATCCGCTGCTTTGCATGAATCGCTCCGGAGACGCCGGGGGCAGCGCTGGATCGGATCAGCGAAGGGAGCCTGCCCACCAAGGGAGGGAGCAACGCTCCCCACCCCCTCCAAGGAGGAGCCCACCTCCGCATCGGTCACAGGGACAGGCAGGGGGACGTCAACAGACGGAGCCCACTTACCCAAGGACGTGGGGACGATCCCCAGCACGGCAGCAGGTGCCGGATTGGGGAAGAACGACACAGGGACATGGTCAAGGACACCCATCCCAGGTACGGGATCCAACGGGCGGGTGTCAGGAGAGCACTAGGCAGCCACCAGGGTACATGCAGTATTCTGCGGGCTTGAGCCACCTGGTTGGGTCTCAAGACCCACGCATGCCTCCGCCTATGCCTGAGTACCCGCGGCTACAGGCGCAACCTCGGTACGGACGTTTGCCGTCGGGGTACTATAGAACTCCAGCCATGGCCTTTATGGGCAGACCTCCCTACCAGCAGGAGTGGGACCCATACACAGGTTTAACCGGGACATTGTGGACATTCTCACAGACTTTCGTTTGTACCAGGTAGCGTTCGTCGCAGACGTCAAAATGATGTTTCGCCAAACCATGATACATCCGGATGACCGTCGGTATCAGCTGATTTTGTGGCGTGAGAGCCCAGATGAGCCGATGGTCACATACGAACTTAACACGGTGACGTATGGACTTAAGCCAAGTCCGTATTTGGCAGTACGTACGCTGCGAGAGTTGGCCGCACAGGAAAGGGTAAGATACCCTCGAGCCGCAGCAGTACTGGATCGCGACGTCTACGTGGACGATATCTGCACGGGTGCTGATAGCGTGGAGCAGGCGCTAATTCTACGAGACGAGTTGATCGCGATCATGGGTTCAGGAGGTTACGAGTTGCGGAAATGGTTGTCCAGTTGCCCAGAGCTCCTGGCCGGTTTGCCAGGCGAGTTCCATCAGGACCCGCACCTCTTTGAGAACCCGGACAATCCAAACACGTTGGGCATCCTCGGGGTGCAATATAGGCCAACGCATGACGTATTCACGTACAAGATTGAGCCCGACCTTTTGGAGAAAACTTGGACTAAGCGGTCGGTACTGTCGACAATCGCTAGAACGTTCGATCCTAACGGATGGATCGCCCCGGTTACGTTCATGGCGAAGTGCTTTTACAAAGGTTGTGGCTAGCCAACTTAGGATGGGACGACCAACTCTCCGGAGAGTTGTTGAAGGATTGGCTCAAGTTTGTGACCACCCTACCAGGGATCGTGCACATCGCGATACCCCGCAAGTTAGTCCCATCGGTGGGATGTAAGGCTACCCTACATGGGTTTTGTGACGCCTCGGAGCGAGGGTACGCGGCAGCTGTATACCTTCGGACAGCAAGTTCAACGGGAACTGTGCACGTGCGTCTGGTTATGGCCAAAAGTAAGGTGGCACCAGTCAGAACTAGATGGACCATCCCCAAATTGGAATTGGCAGGGGCAGCTCTTCTAGCGCGCTTGCTAAATCATGTAACCTGCAATCTGCGTGGTACCATCAACTTGGATGAAACGGTGTACGCGTGGACTGACAGTCGGATAGTTCTGTGCTGGTTGCAGACGTCGGTACATACACTTGAGGTTTTCGTGGCAAATCGGGTGTCACAGATTACGGGGTCGGAAACTCCGTTAGTGTGGAGGCACGTACCGGGAGAATGGAACCCAGCGGACTGCGCTTCGCGCGGGTGCAGGGCACCTGATTTGGTGAGTCACCCACTGTGGTGGGGACCTCAATGGCTGACTGAGTCGCCGCAGGAATGGCCATTCAACGAGTGCAGGGCGCCGCTTGGGCCACCTGATCGAGGTTTGCGAGTGAACGTGGGGCAACTCGTACCGAAGCCTAACCCAGCTTTCTTGCTGGAACGGTATAGCTCCTCGACAAACTTCTTGGGGTGACAGGTTGGATCAAACGGTTCGTGAACAACTGCAGGAAGCCTCAAGCAGAACGGAACTTTACACCTGTCCTCTCGCCTGCGGAACGGAATGCGGCTCTATGCTCATTAGTTAGAGTCGTCCAGGCGGA